TTAGCTCAGACTAAATGTCTCCATTCCGTTTCCTTACAGACACTTCTTTTCAAAGTTATCCTTGAGGGATTACTTAGTAAAGTTTTAACGTTGCAAACTTTGTTCCAAGCAGAATTTACACACCTGAAAAGCAAACTGCAAATGTCAAAGATCTGTTAAGTCTGCTGAATAGCTTAAGAACCTAGAACAAGTGGAGCATTTAGAACATGAACTACGAATTAGCCTTTTATCATTCTCGCTCATGCCACTTACAAGTCCTTCTGTGTCTTCTCAGGTGCCTCCCTTAGAGACCCTTTGGGTTTTTCTGAAGACATATCTAGAGATCATAGAAAGATGTGATTGCAGCAGATGTCAGCATCCCTAACCCAGAGTAGTTGCCTATTGCAATACAGGCGGGCAGTGCGATAACTGGCCTGAGTAAATGTCCTCTGCTCCATGAGGGTGAAGTGTGTGCTGCTGCAACTTCACTGCTGTGGATGTTCAAACCCTAAACTATCAGTAAGCATGACAATCCTATTCCTTGGCTGCTGTGCAGACCTATCTTTTGTGTATGTAGGGTTAACCACACTATAATTACATCTCTCCATCTAGAAACAAGGAGGGGTTTTAAATGTTTATACATTTAGGATATGTGGCTATTTGTTAGTTTGCCATTTACTAAATAACTGTCCACAGCTAGGCAGGTCCATGGTCTGAAGGATTTGTCCGTTAACTGGGCTGTCATAAAGTGAGGAAGCAATAGAGTGAAACTAGTTTATATATGATGCAAGAAGAACACTAAAGTATGCATGTTAATATCTAGCATGATAAATGTTTCTTCTTCCATAGCTGATGGTGACATATTAGTGAAATATACAGAATTTTAATGCTGAATTCGCAGTTCACTTCTTCAGATAAATGTAAAATCTTCTTACGGCAATGTTTCTTTGCTTATCCTTTATGTATGCAATTTGCTGCATTTTGAAACTCATATTTATCATAGAATTGAATGCATACTAAAATAAAACAGAACGTATCTGCATTCATCCATCACCGTGATATTATCTCATGCAGCTCCCCACTTCCCTTTGTGTCTCCAATGCCAGAGAACCTTACTTTATTATTTATTGACCCTTAGTATCTGGCCTTTGTCTCATAAATCATGCTGACAATGAGCTAAATCCAAAATACATTCTATCTTAACAACAGATTATGTTTTGCCCCTTTGGCACAGTTAGAAAGTACATAAGAAAACACAGATTTTAATTTTGTAATTTTTCTTGGGTTTCTTTTTATTAATCCTATGATCTTTCTCACACTGGCCTGATTACCATCTCATTTATATCAATATAATTCCACTGAAAATGATTAGTCCCAATATTTACTAATTTTTCTTAATTTCCTTGACCCCCCCCAATTTCTGTTATCTGTAGAAAATCCCACTGATATTTGTTCATTAAGCTTTAGCAAGTGATTTAGGGTAAGAGTGATTTACTGTATTTCTCTTTTTCTGGTGGTATCTATTAGTTTACTTATATTGTTGTATTATCAGGAAAGCACCAGTGTTTTATAGTACAAATACACAGTAAAAGTATGGTCCTTTCCAACAAGAGATCAAAATCTCAGCATTGGTTCGGAGTTCCAGCTATGACTGACAAAGTATAAAAATTTTAAAATACAGTATGAGAATAAATCTGTAGGCAGCTGGCATAAAGTATACAATAATATCAGACAATATAGCCAAACTGCAGCACACCTGAAAATGTAAATAATTGTTATTAATCTCCTATAGCAAGTACTGGAAATTCCTAATGTTAATCATACCATAAATAGACAGTCATTCACTATATCCCAACTAACTTTTTGCTCTCTTCTGCTTCGGCAATCAAAGACGGATCTCTGCTTTGTTCAAGGAAATGTGATTTTTATATTCTTGGCATAACTAGATAACCTTAAACTCTATCTCTGATCCTAATGGATATGTCCTGAAAGAAATTGAATTTTGTTCCTCTACTAAATGGTCTCAAGTTGTGCCAGGGGAGATCTAGATTGGATGTGAGGAAAAATTTCTTTACTGAAAGAGTGGTTAAACATTGGACCAGGCTGCCCAGGGAAGTGGTTGAGTCACCATCCCTGGAGGTATTTAAAAGACGGGTAGATGAGGCGCTTAGGGACATGGTTTAGTGGGCATGGTGGTGTTGGGTCGACGGTTGGACTCGATGATCTTAGAGGTCTTTTCCAACCTTAATGATTCTATGATTCTATACTTCAGGCCGATGTTATAACATTATCTTGTAATTCTTTACTACCTTTCATCTAAGATTATAAAACATACTTGCAAGTATTGTTGAAAGAATATTACTAATACTGCAAAGCTAAGCACAAAAAATTACACAAAGCATTGCTCGTGTTGTAACAGAGCAATTGCCTTTAGCCGTATGATACGGTTTTTAATTGCACAGTCACACTATTTCCTCACAAGGGTCATGCTGCAGTCAGGAGAAAAATGGGTGGTGCTTCTTTGTGAGGAAGCATTTGATATTGCATTTCCTCCTAAGGGTTTGAGATACGGCCCTCTAAGTTATTGCTGACTGTACATCAGGCTGTCAGTCAGCTTGCTTTTGAATATCAGTTTGTTACCTAATTCTGAACACATCTTTCACCTTTCAGAAGCCTAAGCTGTGTCACCCCAGGTTTCCAACTTGAAATCTTCCAGATGCCAACTGTCAAAGAACAACCACTATTCCTAAACGAGCCAGGGCCCCCAGCCACGTGCAGTATGGCTGGCGTGAGGATGACTGATGCACAGATTAACAGTGAAAAGGCAAGCAGGAACAGCTTTTGAAACAACTCTCGTCAGGGCAGCAGTGTGTGGGTTTACATCATGGGACTCTCCTTTCTCTTCTTGCAGTCTTCAGACTAATTAACCATGCAGTTTTCCATCTCTGCAGCAAGCGAGAAAGGATGCTACAGAACGCAGGCTCAATCGCCACACTTACCCTGTGCCCTAAGCATTGTGCGGGTTATACGATCATTTAATTAGAGACTATATTAATGTAAATAGGCACAACAAGTGGGAATTAAGGCATCACAGGCAATCCTAATCCTGGTGTTTCAAAACTTGTAAAAATGCTTTATTTTTTTTTATTAAAGACATTTTACTTTTTTGTTTTTAATGTGCATTGCCTGTGGTTTTATCAATGCATGTTAAATAAAAAGAAATGTCATCGCTGACATCTAGAGAGGTCATCAGCAAAGCAGTAACTGCTATGTTAACTGTAGAAACTCCTGCCAACTCCAGCTGACAAGCCAGCTCATATCAGCAGTGGCTGTCATCCTTCACATGGGCCATTTCTAGCCTTGTTTCAAAGACAGTTGGTAACGGCAGAGTAACAGCGGGACCTCAGCGGTTTTGTCTCACCTTAAAATCCCCCTCATTTTCCTACTTAGGTTGCCTTCCTCAGCCCCAGCCCTCACTGCCTGTCCTCCTGCAGGGAGGGTGCAGCGTGGATAATCTCTATTCTATTCTTCAACTGTTGTCCTTACTCAGCATCCCAGCTGCTCGCCTGAAATCCAGTGAGTCATTTTCAGCATCAGCATCTACTCCCTTTGCTTCTTCCAGATCTGCAGATATATTTATGCTGCACACTGCAGTGCAGTGGATGCATAAATCACCTACTTATACGTGTATATGCGCAGGTACTGCGAGTATCCTGGTGGCAGCAGCATGGAGCTCAGATAGGTTAATTTTTCTTGCCAAGAATTCTCCTTTTAGAAGCTGGTCTGCTTCTGCTGCCTGGTTATACACTTGGCTGCACCTGTTTAAAGTATCCTGAAAGAGTATGCATATCCAGTGCTAGGATGACAACCACCGTCAATGATCTTGTACCTCACAGAGACTCTTTGATCTAGAAAAGAGTATTTTTGTAGTTGGCAGCCAATACATGTTTTAAAATCAAATGCTTGTTTGATGAAGGGGAACACTGCGTGTGTCTTTTGATATTCTGTACCTGGATTCATCACTGCTTACAGTACATGACAGGTTTTGAAAAACAAAGCTGCTATGGCTTTCCTTTCTGTACTACTGCCTACTGGGATTGCAGATATTATAAAGTTATTCTTGGAGCAATTAGAGCAGTGGCAGTAAAGATAATACCTTTGAATCTCTGCTTTAAAATTCTGCATGAATATAGTTATAGTCTATAATTTTACGTAGAAGAGACTATATGGCGCCACTAAGCCACACTGACAGTGATAAATCTGAAAAGATATGAAGAATTTATCTGAAAATTTCTGAAGTCAGAAAAATTCTAAAAAAAGAAAATAAGATCTCAGAGAAACCCTGCTCTTCAACAAGAAAACTTTTAATGGAAGGTGTCACGTCCAGAAACTAAGTAAATGAAAATAAAAAAAAATGCAAGAGGAGTGTTAAGAAAATAGAAACTTTGATGGCTGAGAGACAACTCAGTATTCCAGTTTAGAAGAAAATACGTCACTGTGACATAAGCCTGACTTACAAAAGAGATTTCCACTAAAATTAACAGCAGTAAAATAATTAATAATGGTGGTATCTGGATTTCCAAAGTTATGTTTCAGAACTTTTTACAGCACCATTGTATCTGTCAGAGCTCCTGTTTCTCTGAGGCTGTTGATATGAACGTAGGTAGGCCTGGCAAGCACTTCCTGGGACAATTTGGCTACTCTCTCTCCCTAATGCAGATCACCACGTATGTTATCCTTTAATTTACAAATTTATCAGTTTTCATCTTGAAATGATTTACCTTCTTCTGTTACCATTACTCCCATTGAAAGGCTGTTCCAGAGCCTCAAAACTCTCTAAGGATTAAAAATATTTTTCTAATTCCTAGGTTAAATGTATTCACGATCCATTTATACCATTTTACTTTTCTTATAAAATCCCCTGTCCTTTAGGTTGTATCTCTTTCTGCAAAATGTCATTTACGATCCGATTTCTGTGTGGTCATTTTCCCTGGCAACCTTCATTTTTGCAGGCTAAGTACACTGCACTCTTTCAGTTGCATGTCCGAGAGGGGCTGTGTGCTCTCTTTGTCACCCGAGTAGCCGCGGTCCCATGTGAATTCATCTCTCCTGAAGAGTACACAGAGGGTACACAGCATTTGACATGAAAATTCAGCATTTTTAAAAATAGTAGTGTTCAGGTATCTTTGCCGGAAACGCCTCCCTTTTACATTCTTCGTGATACTTGCCTTTTTGACAGCTATGCACATTTTGCCTTATAGTTTGAGTGGCTGATAGTTTTCTGACAGTTTTCTCTGACTGTCTTAAGTGTTTCTTTTCTTCTGGTATTTCCAGCTCTCAGCACATCGTGAAGATTCTTCTTGTTGCTCCCCAGCAGCATGACAGAGCATTTACACTACCACATTTCATTCCATTTTATTATGCTGTTCATTAAGGGCATCCAAATTTTCCTAGTCTATAGCCCAGTCTGTCTCCGGGTTGATGACCAGCAGATGTTGTTACTGCCAGAAAGCAGAACCAGAACCCCAGACCTTAACCAAAAAAGCAGCTTGAATCTCTATTTTTTGAATTGGAACAGAACCCAAACCTTACTGAGGTGGCCTTAAACCGCAAGTGAGTTTTTTTGTTGTTAATGCTTTGACTTCCATTTTTTGAACTTTTGTTACTGCAGGACTTCAACCAGCACAAGCCCTGCTTTTGTACCACGGTGCTACCCTGTGCTGCTCGACAGGCACCAGCAGGACCTCTTCATCCCCGTGATATCCAGGATGAACTCTAATTAAACTGTGCCTGGCAAGAGGGGGCTGGCCACTGCTATGAATTCTCTTCTGCCACTACTGCTAGCAGTGCTCTGCGGAAGCCTACTGGGCTCCATCAGCCTGAAGTTCCCCAGCAATCCCACCTGCGTACTTCACCGGGTAGCACTGTGGGGGTTTCTATACTTCTTCGCATATGTACATTTGACGTACGTGCATACATATATTAGTTCAGTACCCTGTGTATGCAGGAGCAAAATCACAGGGGAAGGAACATCCATCTCCTCCTCCTCCAGCATCTCGCAGGCGTCACTCATGCATGCAGTCAAGTGCAGCATCGCGAATTCATTCTAGCTCCTCAACTGTATTTACCAGGGCTAGAGGGGGAGGCTGGTGTGCCTAAGCTCTGACAGCAAGGAGACTTATCTTTGCTAGTTCTTTAGGTACAGTACATGTTCTTACCAATTCCTGCCTTCATTATTTAAAAATAATGTTTCCACATTTTAGAAATTTCCTTTACAAGCGTAAAGGTAGAATTAAAATTCTGATTTTATTTTGAAGTATTTATTTTTTGGCTTCTACTCTGAAGACAGATTATACAAAAGAAAGTAGATTTAATGGAAATTTTTTCATTCCTACAGTTGTGGAAAACACGGGGATCTTTTCTTTATCCTCCTGAGAAATCTGACTCTAACTGCATAATTAGGTGGCTGTTATAAAATGAAAAATTGCAGGATCAAAAGAGATGTACCCGGTTTTATACTTCATCCAAGTAAATATTCTTCTGGTCTAAAGTTACACAGGATGTAGCAATAAAGTATGGTAGAAATTCAATCAGTCCTTGGGTTATGCATTTGTATGTCAGTGCATCTCTTATTGATACAGGCAGTGAGTGTATCTCTAACTACCTACAGATACGTTATGAAATCTTGTATTTATAAAACCTGTAAAATTCTTTTGCTGTGACCATGGCTGCCTTGGTGCATTATATGTGACATGAAGGTGAAGGTCAACTCTTGTTTTCCATGGAAAAAATGGGAACCTGACATGACCTGATCAATGAAAAATATTTAACTAATGTTCTCTAGGTTTATTCTGCTGAACAATACTAAAGTTGATAAACCATTGACCAGATATTTTTTCTCCAAGCAGTTGTTATACAGCACTCAAGCAATTAATAAAAAACCTACGTTTAAAAGAGCCATCTCTTAATTCACTGAACATTACCAAACACGTCATTTTAGCTTTATTTTCCCCTTTCACAGTGGTGAAGATCTGTATGCCCTGGTAGTTATTGCCATGTTTATTGACAAAAAATCTCAAAATAACATCTAAACATGATATAAACAGCACATAGGGGGAGAAATTACAGTAATTGACACAACAGATGGCTAGACAGCATTTTGATCTTCTAGTTACCTGCTGCCAAAGTCAATCCAAATAACATGGTTCTAAAACACTATGAGCCACACGGGAGAGAGAAAATAAGTTGATCTGTTAGTTGACCTAATGAAATCGCCTTTCCTGGTGATTGGTATTCCACATCCGTGTAGTTCTCCAGCTTCCTTCTCCTCCATATCTCCTCTGACCTCCCCTCCATTCCCTCTCCTCTTCCCTTGCAGCCACCAAGGACGTGGGATGGCACATGGCACGGCTGGTCGCGATCTAAACAGACTGTGGACTCATGCTGAGTGGGGGCACTAATTAAGATGCCCTTTCTATTAGGCTTTTCTATCCAGCTGCCAATTATCAGAAAATTTGTAGGAGCTTACCAGGTTTGAGATCTCTGTCCATCTGTTAGATTTGTCTGAAGTGGGCCAGTTGATTCCGTCATTATCAGGGATCAGCGGAGATACAGGGGAGCCGAAGAAGCCTTGTTTCCTTAGGACAGCCACTTAAAAATCACCTGAAAATGAAGTCGTTTAAATTAAAGGTTTTGGTTTTTTCTTCCAGTTAAATAAATACGTAACTGCGGGGATGGATGTGAACTGGGACAGACACCGAGTCCTTAAAACTTTGACAAAACCAAGCAAAACAACCTCCTTCTGGAACAGATGATGGCAGCAATTCCTAGTCCCGGACTGCCCTAATGAAAGCTCAGAGTTTTGAGACAATCCACCCAGAAAAAGCAGTAAACTTCTTGCATTTACTCGGCAAGGACAGCTCTTCAGAGAATTGTGCAGTGAATAATGTTCATTGTAGTCCTTATAACTCAGCTGCCTGCATTTCCACTGGAAAAATAGTTCTATTCTTTCCATCAATCTTATCCATAGTAAATTGTCCTTTTCCATGTAATATTCTAATTTTTCCTGTTGTCTTCATTGACATACGTAGAACAGTCTTATAGCCCATCATGGAGTGGGGTGGATCACGGTATTACTAATCTCACAGAAAACTACCAGTACTGCAATTTTCATTTGCAGAATCAGGAAACATCATCTGGGAAAATCAGTGTGGTGGTGCAATTTGGACGCTGGACAGAAGAGGGTACCCTTTAGATAGCTGAAGATAAAAAAAAAAGACCTTGGCTACGGACACTGAAAACAGCCAGAGGTCGGCAAACTCCCAATGCAGAAGGAAAACTTTTCCAGTGCAGCAAGGCTGTACAAGCCCACGCAGCCTGCGCTGAATAGCCCGGAGAAGGGCTCGCTCACATGCCGCAAGCTGCTTGGACATTTCAGTAAAGACTGCCATAGAGCTCCACGTGAACAGCAGGAGTATGAAATTGCTAGTCCCCGGACTAGTGTTTTGATGTAGACAGAAATCCCGAGTACAGCGTGTTGGGAGCAAGCTATGCTGGTAATATTTCTGCTGCATTCAGAAGGCGGCGGCAAGCTTATAGATTTAATGTTTGATACGCGCACCGGAGCCTCCATACTGTTCGAATCAATGCTTTAGGAGGTTGTCACTTACTCAGTCAAGCCTGTATCTCACAAACCACCTGAGGAAACAAATCCTGTGCTTGGCTGCCTGCGTGCAAATGTGATTTTTGACTCATACTGCTGGATTCCCTGACGTGTATACTCCTGCAGGGGGTAAGTTTGTATTGGCTGCACTGAACAAGCAAAAATGCTTCCACATTGTAAAACATAAAATCCCATAACATTGATTCAAGTTTAATCAATTACACGAGGTAGTTCAGGGAGTAGTTACAGCTGTGCGAAGCATTTTACTCAGAGTTAGAATTTGACTTAGTGTGATAACCAGGCAATAAACTCTGAGTCAGCTGTCAACTTCTGTAGAAATGAGGCATCGCCAGAGCTTAAAGATCTGCTCTGAACATTTCTATCAAATAAATCATATCTCCTGAGTGAATATTTCCACTGTTTTTGACAAGAAGGAAAGAAAACATTGTCTTTGGGTAGATCTAGGGAAGCTAAATAAAGCTGTAATGGTTGCAAGCCAACCATGTCTTCATACAGAATTAATGCAAGTTCAGGGTGCAAAGATGCTTTTAAATCTTGATTTACACTTTGTGTTTTGCAAATTAACAGAGCCCTCACAGCCCTCACATGATCCTCATTGGGTCATTTTTGTGTCTAAAACATATGCCATATGTTTGAAACTGAATCTAATGCTTTTAAAGAAACTAATGATCAGTGTTTTCAATAAGCAGCCTGGAATCTGGTGTTAGCTGATGAGTCATGAAACAAGAAGAAGAACATTTACAGGACATACTACAATATATCAGCTCAGCAGAATTGAAATTTCAGTTTTTCAAATGATGCTTCAGATAGAATTGTCTTTTCAGGGGAGCATACTTTCTCCGCTGGAACTGAACCAGGTGCAGGACAAGCTGCTGCTATGGTTATGCAAGCCCCACCACTAAGACCATTACAAGTATTTTAATCTTCCTTAATTCTTACATTACGGTACAAAAACTTCATTCCAAGCTATGTTTCATCTGTAAAACTGTTTAAAGTGTGAAGTATAAAGTGTGTCCTGAACAAACGTAGCACAGCTTCATTTTGAATTGGTGAAAACCGTAATTACGAGTGACCGGAGTTTATAATGTCATGTTACTTTATCTTTGCTGAATGAGGTGGACATGCCTCGGGGTAGTGTTTTGTAGCTACATTTACCCAAATACATGAGGTCAACCCTGAGAAGACCATTATGGGCTCTTTGAGAACAGTTACAGAAGCCAAGGGAAAAGTATTCCACCCTTGGAGAAGAAATGCTGGCTTGCACAGGAGTGATAGGTAAAAGGGCACCCTGTCTTTTGGCCATAAACTTAGCTTCACACGGATCATGTTCCTTTGCCCATTATTGTACAGTTAACACTGAAAAGACTCAGAGAAGTGCAAAGTAATATTATTTTCTTTATATGTGACATAGAAAACAAATCAGGAGATGAAACTGTGATGTCTGACTGCTTGTTTTGCTCATCTTTGTATTCCCCAAATACACTGAATACTCAGAAGTACTGTCTTCTATTATGGAAGCAGTTGAACAAATCAGATATGTCTTTGCTGCAGTTTCAGAAGAATAATATAAAGCTACTTGTTTAGTCTGTCTTGTTGAGCCAAAATTACATGACATCCTGACAGCAAAATAGACTAATAATCGTAACAAATCTAATTCATCTCTGCTATACTTTGCACTGGACTGAACTTTCTCTGCAAGACAGGGGAATAACTCGTAAATGTATTATTCTGGAGGAATTAGAGGCAAAATCAATACACTTTGCTCACGATGCACATCAGTGGGTTGTCATAACAGTGATTATAAGTTCTCCATCAGTAGCCAGGGCTGGATGCTCAAGCTACTCTAAAAGTTTCTCTCACCTGACAAAACAAGCGTGAGTTAGTGCAGGCCGATGCCACCCTATCTTTTTATTTGAGCGAGCGTAGGAAAAGCTGGCAATCGACACTATAGACCTTGTTGCTCATTTGCCATTGATGGATGCTATGATGCCTTATTAAATGACTTCTTCAGAAATGGCCAGAAGTAGCCTCTATCACAGGTCCATCTGCATTGGTCATGACTTTCCATTTACTCTTTTCAGCAGAGGAAGAAGCTCAGAAAACTAATGTCCACAAACAGGTGACAATTCATATCTTCGCAACGTCAATATTTTTCCTGAGGAAAAGAGGACTCATTGTAAGTAGACAACAATAAGCATTGTATCCTCAGGCTAATGAAGAACTGAATGCTACAATAAAGCTTTGAAAGAAAGATTAGAGACTGCTAAACCGAAAGGAAAATGTGGGGAAACTTTCACTTCAAATTTCCTAAAAATACGAATGGCCAGGTGCAATGCAGGAAAGCTGAGGGAGGTTTTCAAAGCAGAAGGTAAATGCTGTTCTGTTACAGGTACTTGGAGTAGAAACACCAG